AGTCTACCCGTAGCCTTCGTAATTGTCCGTGACCTATTCGACTCTTTCCGTTCATTTCCGTGACGTCACAGGAATGACTCGATAAATTTGCACTTTGTCCAACAGTGTGGACGTAGCTCAGTCGGTTAGCTGTCGAGCTAACAATCCGAAGGTGGCGGGTTCGCGTCCGACGGGTTCTCACAAACTGGTTATTGCTTGTCTTAATGACACGTGACCTACGGCAGAGATCGTCCTCACGAGAAGTTGTGGTGCTGTATTCTAAAGGTGCTCCCAATACCATGCCAACGACCAGTTTCTATCGGGAGATTGTGATTACATGTTCTGTATTTCAAAATAGGAGAGGAAGAGATAGTTTTCAAGTATCGGGGTATCTTTAAAACACAACGTTGCAGATTCTGATACATTTCGGTATGGACCGAAAGTTATCAAAAATGCAAATTCAACTTATAAAGTTGAAAAATAACGCGATGTGAAAAAAACCGCGAAATCGGAGTTCAAACGATTCACTAAATTCACCCCAGTTTTGGTGAAAAGTGGCTTCAACAGCTGCGCTGCGCTCATAGCGCATGCGCAGTGAATAGGTTCGCGCAGCTTGAAGCGGGATGCCCGAATTATAAGGTCGTGAGCAGGAGTAGTCTAATCTCGGTTCACTAGCTACACAGGAGCTGTTCTCACTGCATTAGACAAATCTTGATTCTCATCAGAAATATATTCCTCTGTCTCATGCACATCTGCGATCAGAGGGATTCTGCGTCTCTTTCTTCCCTTCCTATAGTCTGTGTTGTCGGGGACTTCATCAGTGTCTGCGTCGTATTCTATACGTTAGCTTCAGTGACCTGTGCTTGTACACATGCCATCTCACACAACTCCTGTATATGACCGACACATTCTGGTTCATGTACAAAGTCCATAGTGACAGTATTCACTGTAGGTTGGGGATATAAGATTTCTCCATCTTGTATCCTGATACAGCCTGGTTCTTCATGTACGTAGGGAAAGAACGGATCAACTTCATCAGGACTTGACACTAAAACCCTTGACGTTGAATACCTTGATAACGCATCTGGTACTCTCATGGACTCAGCAGGCTTGTATTTAACTTCAAAATCAAACTGTTGAAGAATTGTCATCCATCTCTCATACATGGCACCCTTCCATCTTTTTCTGGAAAAGAGGACGCAACGCCTGATGATCGCACTCAACTATGAAATGTGTCCCTCTCAGATAACTTGCACAGTCCAGAATGCTGGTGACAACACCTAACAGTTCAAGTTTTGTTGGTCCATAAGACTTCTGATAACCAGACAGGGATTTAGAACCAAACCGTATCACTCTGGTTCTAAGTTTCTCATCTAGTCCTTTGTGTTCACTGTCTGGGTAAACCTGGTATAACATGTAACCAATTCCCCTACTGGAAGAATCAACAGCTAGAGTGAAAGGTAGGTCATATCTTGGGAATGCTAGAACCTGTGAATTTATCAACTGTTCTTTCAACACACTCTGTTGTTCTTACCCAGCGCCGGGAAAGCCCCAATTAAAAATCACTGACCCAAAACTATGGCTGGTAAAGCCCCACTGTATTCTATCTATATAATTTGAAATATCGCTTTCCCAGCCCATAAACGTGGTGACTATAAATAAAGCATGGACATGTGAAAATATAAACCTTCTCACTGACAATTACATTATTGTTTTGGGTGGTATGAATTGATCCCAAACAGGTAAATACTAGTATGACAAGACATATTAAAATAGATTGCTTTTCCAGAACATTTTACATTTTGTATATTTTGTAGTTGTTACATTTACACAGCAGATTGGATGATTATTCAAGCTCTTGAAGGCGATTCCATCAAACATCCTACTGATTCATTGTAATAATGATACAGGTCTATAATTGGAAGCTAAAGATGTTCTCTTTTCTATTAAAAAGGAATGACTTGTGCCAATGTCGGCTGGTGTGGACATTCGTGCTTAAGGTTAGTGCTTGAGAAACACTTCTCCACATCTTCCAAAACTTGGTTATGATTGCCTCAACTTTGTATCAACTGAAGCCCCTATCAGCCTAACATCGTAGAGCATGACACCATTCCCCATCAGGGACCTCAAGTGTCTGTTGGAGTATTTAAGGACGTCAGTTGTTCAATAACTGACCATTGAAGAGGGCAATATCATGTTTTATGGCCCTAGGATATCTTTATGCAAGCTTGGACGGAACACAATTTCTTGCCCATATTCACAATTGTGTTACATTATACTACGTGGTGTATAGATAAATAACATACAACATTTGTATAGCGCCCTATATGATTTAGAAACTAAAACACTCTAAGGCGCTGAACAAAAAGCAGATGCAACATAGCATGCATATAGCAGGATGCAAGGTTTCGAGGAAGACTCTTCAAGCGTTATCAAGTTGGCTCGAGGCTGACCAACCAATACTAAGATTAACATGGATCTCTGGGTTGGAGAGTGTTCGTGCGTATCGGTTTCACGTTGTGAAACGTTAAATATATCAGATGCTTGATTGGCATTTTAGAAGATGATATTTGACGGTGACGAGGTAGGGTATTGTCTTATTGTTTTATGTACCATGCATTTGGTACATAAAACAATAAGACAATACCCTACCTCGTCACTGTTCCCATGTATAAAGCATAATTTCTATGTATACACTGCTATTACTTTACATTCTATACATTTATAAATACGTCTCTGTACATTTCTAATTCAATCAACAATTTTGTATAAGTTTCTGCACAGTTCTAAATTGATCCATTAATTTTGCAGTAAATGACATCTTATATATTCATAATAACATGTATTCTATTAGCCATGTCATCTGTATCTATTGACCACCACATGTATTGCATCGTCATAGCATTGTGACGTCATAAGCATTGTGACGTCACGGCCAGAGTTAACAGTTACTGTTCAGTTTACCTGATGATGGGGCCAGAACAAGCCCTGAAACGTTGTACTCGAGAATAAAAAGAAGATGTAACCCAGAAAAATCTCTATGTTCGTTAAATATATCGACAGATGATGTGATAATTCATTTGCTAAGATAAATCCACATAAATGTTGTGAGCCTGTAACTTGTTTGGGATTGTTCTTAAGGAATGTAGAGTGCAACTGGCTGGGGTTTTTCAAAAGCTATTTCAGATATCAATTAATTCGCATAATGTACTTTTCTTTGGAAACCCCCCTAAAATTATTTCATTGCAAAAAAACAAAACAAAAAAAACAAAAAAAATCCTGTTAAAAATGGCTTCAGACCAGTGGCCCTAACCTCTGTTGCCATGATATATTTAGAACGTATTGTCAAAGGTCACATGCAACAAAAAATCAAACATAATTAAAACACAATTATCACTTATTCATGACATATAATATACATTGCTGGTAATGAAAAAACATATAAACAAAATTTTAAGCGTGCAATCGCAAATCAAAAGTGCAAAATTGTGTACTTCGGTTTACTTCCTAAGAAACGAAGCAGCCGGGATACCAAACCCAGTCAGAGCGGGTGGGTGTGCACTCAAGTGTAACGGCTGGTTCATCAGCAGATGCCTTCACGGCTCATTGTGTGTGTATATATAGAGATGTTGGGTTTTGTAAATACATGCTCATTTTTTGTGTATAACATTTTGCAATCAACAGACATCATAACATGTCATGTGTTCAAGTATCACACCTGCCTGTCTGTGTAATTACATAATGTGACAGAGACCGAACTCGGGCCATAAATCAATGCATTTTGTTTATGGTGTATAGCCTGATTGGTGTTAAGTTCAAATTGCATGTGGTCAGTGATAGCAGCTGTGTATTGAATATTGTCATTAGCAGACAGGCAGGCAGACACACACGTGTCAATAAAACAAGACATTGAGTTTTGTCTGTGACAACGACATATCTATATCACAGTTAGAAATTGTGTCAACGCTAAATAATTACATTGCTTTTAAGTATCAAACTGAGAAAGTGACTCGGTAAGAAGAACGTGTGGTGAAATAGACAAATGAAATTATATAAACAGTTAATTTACCGTCATAACATATAAAAAGCTCGCGCCTGTGAGATATCAACAAAACATTAGAAAAATAGCTCACACCAAAGCCTTCACCGAGTATTCACCCGACAACCCGCTTCCAAGCTGCGCGAACCTATTTCACTGCGCACGTGCTATGAGCGCAGCCCAGCTGTTGAAACCCGTTTTCCCCAGAAAAGTCGGGGGAAAAGTAGTGAAACGTTTGAACTCCGATTTCGCGCGTTTATTTTCATCGCGTTATTTTTAAACTTTATAAGTTCAATTTGCATTTTTGACGATTTGTTTCGGTATGTCCATACCGAAAGGTATCAGAATCTGCAAAGTTGTGTTTTACGTTGCATGTAGTCAGTCATGTTCAATTTGCATACAGAGCAAGGCGTGGGACAGATGATGCAACAATCGCTCTGTTAAACAATATCTATAAGCATTTAGAAAACTATGCAAATGTTAAGTGATCCTATACTCACATACTTTATTTATGGAATATTAATCACTACCTTCTGTTGACTTTTAGAACAAACAGGGTTCGCCACTCATATTTGCCAGTTAGTATTCGATGTATCAATAACAAATTCAATGAATGATTTCCAAATGTGCAATCCAGAATTTCTAGTCAATACCAATGTTTGTGTACTAAATTGATGTATTTACATCCTGACTATATTACACAAATAGTTTTATGATAATACAGCTGCTTTATAAATGTAAAAACTGGAGAACTCTTACATGATGCAAACCAAATTTCCCTTGGGATAAAAAGAAATTATCTTATCCGTTAGGACGCGGAAGACAGTACCAGTCTACGCACCAAGCTTGCCGCGCTTACTAACAGTAGAACCAGTTAGGCAGGTCATGCAAAGCTGGTGTCCGTTCTCTAAATCAGATAAGAGCTTGCCTTCTGGTGAAGGCACGCAGAAATAGGCGTGAACCAGTCTGTGACGTGCGCGCCCGTACAAGGGGAATCCCCTAAGACATTTTCGTCTTTCAGACGTTGGGACAGCACTGCACAATCAAAGTCTAAGCTTTCAAAAGTTATTTCAACTTCAATATTTATTTGAAGCAAGTGTATGCAGTCGAAATTGGTTGTTGTTTGCGGTCTGTACATTGCGCAGGTAAGATGAATACTGTTGACGTGTAGATACATTACATTAATCATAATACGCACCAGCGATAAGGGGCCATTCTCACTAATGAGGTGCAATTGATGTCGCCAGCCATTTGTTCATAATCCAACAAATATTGTGCCCAGTATTTGCATTATTCATAAAGTCTTATACTCGCCCTAGCCAATAAACACTGTTTCGGGTCATTTGTCCTTATATTGGCAATGCAGGAAAAGTCAAAGTTGGCAAACCGATACGTACGTTACTGTCGCCATGTCGGAGACGATTCACTTAAGTTAATACTGTCATTTTGATTTTGCAGTTTTTGGTTCAGATTGAATGTTTAAAGAACAATGTACTGATTACGCTGCATTCAAATGAGAATAAGAAGGCAAACCATCCAAATCGGAATAGTTATAGAGTGTTGAAATGTTGTCGCCAAACTTTGGATACATACGTTGTGTTTTTCTGGATGACAGTGTAGCAGCGTACCTTTCTAGCTTAAGTGAAGTACAGTATCAATTATTTATACTCAAAACATTTACCAATTCAATTACGACAGGTTTTAACTATAAGTATAGTTCAGTATTGGAAAAAATATTTTTCAACACCACAAACAAGATGCGTAGAAATCAAGCAATACATACGTTATCATGCCAATAATTACTTCAATTTCTATAACACTTCACGCAAAACATTATACCAACAACACACATTTCTAGCATTGTAAAACAGCTCATATCACGATCAGTAGTGTGTATAGATTTGCAAAAATGAACATGAAAACCATTGAAAATATACATACGTAACTGTTACATATGTTACTAGAAAGTACGGAATTAAGTTTTCGAAACAATATGATTAGTTTTGGCTATACCTACTTCATGTGGCGACAGTCATCGAACAGCAGACACAGTTTGAGAGAGAAACCACATCAGTTTTATGAGGTAATGTTGTTTTAAATTCAGGTGATACCATGCATAATTAAAGACGTCACGTTAAACATGTTACAAAGTGTAATTCTTTCAAATTGTCATTGTGTATTTTAACTACCATCATAACAAACAGGAAAGCGATGTTATTTGTAATAACATTTGGATTAGTCCTGGGTCTTTGTTATGTGAAAGAGCATAATTATAGGGTAACGTATGTATCGAAATGTATTATACATCGTTACTCATTTGTTTCTTATTTCAAGTGGGAAAACGTAGAGCAGAAATTCAGACAGAATATCGGTAAATTCGGAAAGCAAAAGGACCCGCCTTACTTGAGAAAGAATGATCGAGGATACAGTCTTGTTATGTTCCTTTTGCCAAATTTATGATGATTAATATTAATCACCCTGATATTGTCTTTATGTAGTACTAAAAAACTGTAAAGGAAGAAACGATAGAATCTTGTAATCCTGAAGAAAACGATGCTGATGTGTTTTAATCGATGTTTAGGTAAGAAAAAGTATTATTCTTCATAATAAAAATCTTATTTGAAACAATTTAAAGTTGGGCTACATACGTTACTGTTTGTACTGCAAAAAGTGACTGGTAATTTTCATGAGTTTTATGTTGTTGCAACTGGCTATCGATCAAATATTTTGCTACTCATTTTTTGGTCTACTACGCCCTCAGATTGTCGGCTAATCTAGTTATCAGGTTTGATTTTAGAATGTTTTTGCAATTTGTTGGTATTTTTGAAAAAACAATCTGAGTAATAATGATTTACAATGTGTATGTCAAAGTACTTCTAAAGTTTTTGAGCAGACATGTGTGTAACTAAATCGCCAAACTCATGCGGAATATTTGATAGGTTACTCAAATAATTTATCACATTGTCACTTTAATTCTCTAGTCAAAAAAACTAGTCACGTACGTATCAGGTGATAATATTTTATGATTCAAGGTGCCACATTTAGATAACAGCTGTATGGTTATTTGTAAAATGGTGTGGCTGAAAAAGTGAAATGTAATAGACCATATACCAAACTGTCTAAATAAAATGTTTTTGCATAGATTTTGTGTAGTTGATTTTTGACTTACGATGCTTACCCATTTGCACCTCATTAGTGAGAACGGGCGTAAGACGTTTGGGAGTGGGCGTTACGGTTTGGTATGTACAGAGTAGCTGCTCGCTACAGCTGAATAACGTTGGTTTCGTCACGGTTATAGGTACCTTTATCACATTTATAGTCTATATTGTAAAAATCTTGTCAATCAAAGATAGCCAGTATTTAGATGAAGTATTTTTTTACACTCTCTTATTCATTTTCTTTTAATCATATTTGGGGGGTGGGGGTTACGGCGGAACTCTTACCAAATAAAATAACTGGAAGTTTATTTAAAAACCTTGGGCTGAAGGCAAATTGCATTTTGCATAACACAATTATGATACTGCCATCATGCATTTGCTTACATCAAGAAATATATTATTTCCCCCAGCCCAAGAGGTTTGAGGTAACGACTGTAACTTGTTTGAACATTAACTAAAAGTATAAACTGGGTCAAGGCTTTACCTGAACAATAACACACAAAAATATGGGAGCTTGATAATTCCTAGACAGTAGACATGTAATTGATATAATAATCATCATGATGCCTTTTGCAGGGCCTCCCCAAACAATTGCATAGCTTCTAGCTTTTGTTTACTAGAAATGTCCAAATAGCGCAAATAAGCATTGCTTCTCCAAAAACCAAGATCCTGAATTACCTCTCCAGGTAAACCTACATCAAAGGTCCAACTAGAGCCACCTCATCTATAAGAGTGCCCAGTAAGGCGAACAGAGATACCATTTTGCTGCAAGATGTAATTTACAACATCTAAGAACTTGTAATAGGTTAACACTTGACAGTTATTGTCACACAACAGCGGGTGTGACATGTCATGATGGGTATGAAATTTAAGAACATTGTCGATGGCCGACACTGGATTGAGAGGATGGTCACTAATGGCTGGCAAGTAAACATAAACAATCTTTTCCTGAACTGGAGAGTATTTGTCCAATTCAAAGCAATACAGTAGGAACTACCAAACTGTTCAATCTGACCCATGGTCAGAACCCTTGACAAATTCTGGCCTTGTATAGCTAAGATATTCCCTGGTCTAAGCATGCCAAAAAAAACAATAAGACATGCTGCCCACACTGATGCTCCAAAGATTGTCTCATTTACATTTTGCTTGATGAGATGGAGATGTAGGGGTGTAACACTTGGTGCTGCCTGCTGAGAAACACCAGTTCCCTCCTTACACCTACAAGTAACTGAGATATATGCCAGTTATCTTTTAAAGGGTCAGGAAAATGTTTTCCTTCTGAATATTGGAGACTGTACACAAATACTGCCTTACAGTAGAATATTTGAACTTTTTTACATCAACTAGAAAAGCAATGTAACACATAATAGCTTCCTCACTCATGGGTACAGGATCAATACCAACTGTATCACAATACTTTAACAAACACTTAAAGTGACTACGGTGTGTGGCCCTAGTAGACTCTGCCCAAGCGTAAGATTTAAGCCATTGTACACCCTCTTTCAACTGCCTGATAACGCCCCCATCTGGAATTCAAATAGTTAGAGGACATGTGATTTATAAGGTTCTCCACAGAAAAATTCATTAAACTCAGGCTGGGCACATACTGAAAGAGACGTGACAAGTTACCCTGTTCATGTCATCTGGAAGCAGCATCTGCTATCTGGTTATCAACACCTGGAACATAATGAGCTTCTAATGAAATATTAAAATAGCCTTGTAACCAACTCAGAAACCTGAGGTATTCCATTACAAAAGTGTTCTTACAACTACCTATGTTGATCATAGCACGTGCACAAGTATTGTCAGTTTTTACTATAACCTTTTTGTTTGTCCATGCACAGCACCAGCGGGCACAATTGGCACTGTTTAACAAGGCACTTTTAACATAAATATGCATTTGTTCAACTTGAAGCATATCACAGTGCCATTTCACATAGTAAAAGTCTCCATTGAAGTAACCACCTGCACCATTAGATGATGCATCTGTTTGCACAGTCCGAACTGGCTTGCTGTCCAAAAATTTCTTTGATCCGTTAAAAGTTCTCAAACAGGAATTCCACCATTCTAAATCCAATCTGAAGGAGTCACTAGTTAACACCTTATCACTTCCCGATTTTAAGGTTTCTTGAGGTCAATCATTCTCCTAAGAAAAGTTCTACCTCCCTGTATCACAGAGGCTGACCAGTTCAATTTTCCTATCAGACTCTCTATTTGCCTTTTACTTGCTCTCTTCTTTGCCGCAAAGGCAGCTATTTCCTGTTCAAGGGTGTGAACTTTGTCCATTGGCAACTCTAAAGTACATTCAATGGTATTTATCAAAACACCAAGAAAAACAACTGTTTTGGCCCTTCAAAGTTGCTCCAGTTTATACGAAAACCTAACCATCTCAATACTTCAATAAGTTTTGCCAAGGCTTGGCCACATTCACTAGCAGTATCTGAAATAATAAATAAATCATCCAAATATGCTATAACTCTGTACCCATGTCTCACTTTCATTATTCTGCATATTGCAGCACTTAATATCTTTCAGCAAAACTTGGCAGATATTTTGGGGGACTTAGAAGCACCAAATGGAAGTTTTGAATCAAACATGTACGTAGGTTTGCTTTCCCCTTTAAAACGCCAACACAACCCTGTTAGTGGGTAATTACTAGTGTGAATAGGTACAGATCTGTATGCATTTTTTAAGTCTACTTTGGCAAGAAAACTACCATGTTTGATATGTTTATCTGCCTCACGAATATCCATATATTCACATTCACAGTCATACATATAGCTGTCCATACTGTTGGTACTGGGAAGACTTCCATCATGAAGAAGTCTGACTTTTGTCTCAGGGCCCCTATTCTCGAAAGTGTCCCAGCTAAGACAGATCCTAACTAGTTAGGACAGAAGTTAGGACATCCTAACTTTAAGATAAGACCCATTCTCGAAACGATCCTATCTCTGTCCTAACTTGAGCTTCCGATCCTAGCTAGGATAGCGAGCTCTTCAGTCGGTGAGATAGAAAAGCGAAGGGATTTCCCATATGACGTCACAGCTTTTGGGGAAATCCCCGAGCAGACGTCAAAATGTCAAGCTCAAGCGAGATGGCGACCGCAGAAAAGAAAGCGAGAAAAGTCAACTGGACTCGGAACGAGATGGATTGTTTAGTTGATGAGGTGGAGAAGCATAAGTCTATTCTATTTAGCTCATTTTCATCCGTTGTTACCAACAGCAAGAAGCAACAGATTTGGAAGGACATATCAAACAGGTGAATCTAATTATTCAATTTATTGATCGCGATCAGCTCGTAACTGTAAACAATGCAATGTCAAAGTAGGACTCATTGGCTCTGTTGGTCATTTTTGTCAAAATTATTGTTTTCACAGGCATGTACTAATTGCAATTTCTCCTCTCGAAAAATAATTCAAAATGACTTTATCTGATTATATTTTTAGCAATCCCACAGAAATGGCTAATGTTATTGATCACAATATTTTGATGAGTGAATTTCAGAAAGACATTAGATATTTTATCATGAGCTCTGAGTACTGATATGATTTTATTCAATCTATTCTTTTGATAATGAATTATACTGTTTAACAGTATATTACATGCTACTAAAGTTTTCATAACTGATAAGAAAAGATTAGAATGTATGCAGTGAAGTACACATTGAATGTTGAAATCCTATTGTATTTTTTTCTCAGAGTCAGTGCTTGCGGGTCCTCTATCCGCTCATCAGAGGATGTGAAAAAAAAATGGACCACTCTAAAGTAAGACTACATAAAATATAATATTCATGTACTAAACAAGAACAGTAAACCTATCTAATATATTATAAGGATGCCTTCAATACTGCGGCTTTAACTTTGACAAACAAGCTGAAACAAAGAACTAACTTTCAAAAGGATAATTTTATTTATTAAAATAACATCTTTTTGAGAACCTCAAAATCTACTAAAATTGAAAATGTACATATTTAGCTTTACAATAATTCAGTTTCAGGCTGATAATTTTCTTCAAAGAAATGAATTTATCAAGGTCAGTGTTATTTGAATGTAAATGATCTTAAAGATGGAAATAATTTGATATAATGTACTTTAATCTGTAACAGGAGCGACACAAGGAGGAAAGCCGGTAGCCTAAAGAAGGCAATATTCCAGACAGGCGGAGGGCCATCACCATCTCCACTGAGTGACTTTGAGTATAAGGTATATTGCATAAATCTATATTTGTATGAGGAAATTGAAGTAATGAAATTCTAAAATTATGAATTTAAAAACTTGTTTATTACTGGATGTTGTTGACATGAGAATGTATAAATCAATGATATTTTCAGTATCATGGTACAGTCACTTTTTCGTACTGTATACCTGCACATGTCTCAAGTTAAATTTTTGCTTTGTCACACCTGTAACAATGTGTCTATGTAGAATCAAATTTATGCTTTTGTTTAATTACTGAAAAGTTCATTTAATTTTTTACAGGTGGTGTCCCTCATTCCATCCGCACAAATCAATGGTTGCACAGGGGGGCTGGATAGTGAAGACTTGTCAGGTATTCATCCGTTATCATAAAACACTTATGATATACAAGTGATCACCAAGTAATGTGTGAAATTAATGTTTTGTATAAGTGACAGTATAGGGGCCTATAGCATTAATTGCATAATGATAAGTTGTGCCCTAAAATATTTGCAAACCAGTAACTTTTACCTCTTTGTTTAAGTGTCATGTACTTTTTCAATATTCCAAATAAATTTATACATTTTTGTTAAAGAATATACTTGCAAAGGTATTCTGACATATAAAACATTAATTTCCAGCCTTCTCAGGATTGGGCAGTGTGTTGTTTGATGCAGCTGTTCCCTCGACTTCAACTAGCAGCAACAATTTGAATGTCGACTCTGCCCGGACATCACCTATCCTCCTTTCGCCCTGCACTCCACCTCGACAAGCAGCACCACCAACACCGCATGATCCACCAGCATCGTTCCAATTGTCACCAGAAATAGGTAATAATATCACATCGCAAATCATGATAATTATAGATTTATCTCGTTTAGATTTGGTGTGCAAAATTAGACAATATACCTCAGACTAATATATAGAGAATATTTGGTGTTTTCAGTGTGATATCACTTACTACGTCACGCAATGAGAGATCAGTGATATTACAATGAAAATAAATAGAAAATACTAGTATGTCCATTCTTGACAAATACAATGTTTATCAGTCTATAAATACTTAACATTTTAATAAATTTCAAGATTTAACTTCCAGATTTCCAAGTTCCAGTTCAATACTATTTTCTTATAGCAATGGAAGAATTATGTATACGTACTGCATTTATAATTTGATGCAGTAAAAAAAATAATTTACCGGTAATGTTATTACATTCAAATTCAGCAATATATCCTTGAAAACAATTATATTGTGAATTTTCTTTGTACTTCCTAGACCTGGGAGTAAGAAACAAAAGACAAAAGTTCATACACATGGTAATTATTAACCTTTGTAATGTCAATGAGTAATATTTTGTAATGATTGTATGATAAGTTTTCTCAAAGATGAAATTGTCTCATATGTTAACAATGTGATATACCAGTTCAACTTTACAAGGTACAATGCAATCAATGAGTATTGCAAATAAGTTCCTTTATGGTAAAAAAATACAAAAGGAAAAACAAAACAATGTTTGTATCTGAAATTGTTGAAATTTATTGTGGATATGACATGATTGTTGTTTGTTTTTTAGAAGACAGTACAGCCCAGGCAGCTGAAGTGGTCCAGCTTGAGAGGGAGAAGGTGGCCATCATGCGGGAACGCTTGCAGATCGACAGAGAGCGCCTGCAAGTTGAAAAAGAAATACTCAATGAATTGCGGCTGATGAGAAAACAGGCAGATCAGACTTTAACTCCCATATGCATCTCACCGATCATCACATTTGACTCCTGAATGTATATACAATACTTTGCTATTAAGAAATTCTAACAATGAAGTGAAATTAATCCATATTGTCATATGTTGGGGATGTGAGTAGTTCAAACTTGTTCGAGTTGTCCGGTTAAATTATCAAGTACCATTGGTTGTTAATAATTTGTATGAAATCATTTGTTGTTACCCAAAAATATGTACCTTAACTGCAGGCTAGGACTTCAGGAGCTTTCTGAGCCTTACAAATATCATTAATACACTCAGAAAGAGTAATCCCAAATAAAACATATGTTACATTACAAATATCATTACCAAAATTTCATGTCTTTTTAAAACTTAGAAAGAGAAATGTACATGATAACAATAATAGTTTAGTTTATGTCATTATTGTCATGAAGGCAATGTCAAGGATGAGTGTCATGAACTTTTCATTTGTAAAAGTTTTAATTTTCTTAGAAACAGATACCTCCCTATGTTCACAACTTTGTACAAAGATGATCAACTAATGGAAAACTGATTAAACTCAAGAAATATCAATCTAATATTATTTTTGCAAATAGAAGTTCATTTGTGTATGTATATTTCTATTTTAACTATACTGTACAGTGTAAAACATCTACAAGTGTACTGTAATAGGTCATATCGGCTAAAATACTGAATAAAACTTCCATGTGTCTGCTGATATAATGGTTTTGTGAAAATGAATCTATTTATTGTACCACCACTTGCACAGGAGTTGATATATCAGACAATAACTATATGGATAATTTTTCCAATATTTTCATACTTTATCTTAAACTTTATTTTGCAAAATGGTTTAAAGCTTTTGATACTTGTGAGACCTTTAAGATACGATATATTCATTGACATGTGCGTAATTGTCCGGTTTTCGATCATGTCACCGTATTTCTGTGATCAACCTTTATGAATTATATAGTAGGGGTTGTTGATACTAAACCGGGGCCTAGTTTATCGATTTTCTGACCCGCAGTGGGGGCCTGTGTGTGAAACCCCGTGCAAATCAGCCAATTCCGACTGGAAACCACCCTTCCCCAGGTATCTAAGGGTTATTAGTACTTGAAGATCGGGGTTTAAGGCTCTTGAACGCTGTGTGGCTCTCTCTAGCTCGGGTCGACACAGCTCTATCAATAAATCGAGGGGCGCAGTCCGGTTACGATATATCCTTTCGGCATTCTTCTTACAGTCATTCTTTCCCCCAAACATTGCATGAACAAACAAGTACGACGCCATATTGTTTTCGTCTAGGATTTATTTAGGACAAGTCAGACCCTATCCTAGTATTTGTCCTAAGTTAGGATATCCTAGCGCGCTAGGATACTTTTAGAGAATAAGGTAGGACACCTATCCCAGACCCTAGGATCAAAGTTAGGATACCCTAGCGCTAGGATCCTTTCGAGAATAGGGGCCCAGACTTAGGAATAGCCCCTAGTGCACTAACAACTGCAGGTTTTGAGTCACAAATAACATAATTATCCCCCGCAATGCATTTTGCTGGGTATTAAAATGGACTCTGTCCGTGCGTATGTGTGTCCGTGCGTCCGTGCACATTTGTCTTTTCCGGAGCAGAACTTTAAAACCGTTTAATATTTCTTCACCAAACTTAGCACATGGATAGATCTGGTGGTGTACTGGTGCCCTTTTGGTAGTTTTGGTATTCTGAATTAAATATTTTTGGCGTTTCCGTGGCAAAACATTTGACTTAGATTGAAATTGGTGGTTGTGCTCTTTTCCGGAGCAGAACTCTAAAACCGTTCATTATTTCTTCACCAAACTTGGCACATAGATTGGTCTGGTGGTGTACTGGTGCCTTTTGGTAGTTTTGGATTTCTGAATAAACTATCTTTGCATTTCCATGCCAACAAGTTTGACTTAGACTGAAACTGGTGGTAGTGCTTCGCTCTAGAGCAGAACTTTTAAAACCTTTCAATACTCTCCTTCCACTTTTTAGATACACACCAAAACAAATGACATAATCATAACTCTTACACATGTTCATGAAGAGTAATTTGCCATTGCAGGGGATATTACCCAACATATTTAGCGCCAACCACGTGGCCTATCCAATGTATACTAGTGCTACGATGAACAGTAACCCCGGTCAAAAAGTTGTCCAGTAGTAGAGCAAGTGAAACAATGTGCTACAAGACTATCCAGTACACAGTTATTCTATATGTGGTACATATTGTTTGAATATCCCGTTATGAAGCCCCTTTCCCAGCTTACACTACAATTTAACCCAGTTTTCCTACACATTCGAAGGACTAGTCATTATTTTTCCTTATCCTGACTCATGCTTATTTGCTTGTCTTCTTCTTCTTTGGGAACACAGTGGAACACTTGTATCTCCCAATTGAAGTTCCCTTCAATGTAAAATCACTAATTAGTACTCACCACGAGTTATCTTTCCCCTCTCAAGCGTGGGAACGAGGGCGCCACCTCCCACCATGTGCCTCACTCTCTCCTTCTTCGCCCAGTGAGCTGGACGTGAGAGCGTCTGTGTCTCCCAAAACACTATATCCTTTATTTATATTTAGTTTGGTACCTCATCTATAGAGGTGTAACTAGTATCCTTATTCAACATGCATTGATAATTATTCGTGTTTCTGCTGCTTTATTCACGGTTCGCCGTGTTTGCTCAGCAGTTTGCGTTAATGAAAATCTGCACTGTTTGTAAATTACGTTACTCTGCTGCCGATCCGCATTTAATATGCCCTAGTTGCATAACTCCATGCTCTATTGTTTCACGCTGCAAATTATGTATTAATTTGTCTAATTCTGCCTTTGATAAATATTTATATTCCGTCTTGAGACGGGCGGCAGATAGATCTCGGAAACAATCGTCAGTCATGGCTAATAGATCAGAGTCACATATACCCTGTCAACTGTTGGCGGACGACCCTCTACCGTCTGGTGTTCCGCCTGAGTTACCTTCGGGGGAGAAGCGTGGGACGCAGTCCGCTATATCCAAGAAGTTTACCTGCATCCCAGGACATTCCATCATCACAGTCTAAGAGAGCTTCCACGTAGTCTCAACGCATTCAACCCGAGGTCTACAGGTCTACAGCCGAAAAGGGAAATCCATAAGGCTACTAAAAACTTTGCTTCTGACATTCTACCCGTTTCAGAATTGTGTTTATATGATGATGACATTCCGATTATCATTCCAGATGTACGGCATAAGAAGCGACCAGTATCGGCTACCGTCACTTCAGCGCAGATCAACACGCAACCAGAGATGCCTACGCTGACGCCTGAGATTATAACTGAGGGTCCCGTCACTATCACAGAGAGGACACCCTCAACGCCAGCGCAGACCGTCCCAGACGACCTGGTTAACCAAATCATGATGTTGATGGAAGACCGATACGGTTTACAGAGGCCTCAGAGCCGCGGGCCCCAGAGCCCAACCCATAATAAGTCATATAGGGCCCCAGAGCCCGCTTTGACTTCGCATAGGGCCTTAGAGCCCACAACCGCGCCTCCACGAAGGGCAACCCAGCCCGTATCAAAGCCTTCGCAAAGAACGTCCCAGGCAGCTTCCATGAAGGATCCAGATCCTCACCAGTTGCGAAGGGCTTCGCGGAGGAGGAGTGCTTCACCGAGCTCAGACCCTGTAGAACACAGAGGTCATTCACGAAGCAGGCTCCCATATAATGATTCGGACTCTGACTCGATACCTTCCCGAAGGCCATCACGAAGGTTAAGTGGCTCCAAGTCATCTTCACCCAGAAGATCTAGAAGGGATTCATCGAGAGCTTCACGAAGCCACCAGCGTTAGCCGAGGAAGTCTCCTCCAAGGTCTCCCTATACTAGCCACTCGGCCAGTCCGTTTCACCACAATCTTCGCCGATCTTCTTACAGATCTAGGACTCCACCTCACTCTATTATATGTGATCCTACGTCAGAAGAGGAAGAAGGTATCACATTCTCAGATGCAGAAATTAGATACTGGATGGTGAATGGATTGGAACTTGCTTCCCCGTCTAAGAACGAGAACTCAGCTCATACTTATTTGATGAAGGAAGATGATGCAGACACTATCTCCTTACCTCCTATTGACCCGATTGCAGCGGTTCCAGCTAATCTGGATACAGCCTTTACCAAATCTACGAAATTCCAATCAACACATTTCCCGGTTTTCAACGCCAAGAAATTTGCAGGTCACAATATGGACTCCTTTTTCAAGGCTCAAGAGATTGATGACAACTTTAAGTTAATCAGTGATGCCAAGTCCAGAAATTACAGAATAGACGATCGCAAACTAGCCCAGTTGGATACCATTTCTAGGTGAATGTTTTTTGGATTGAATAGATCTAGAACTGTCAATGAAACTCTCATCACCAAGTTCAAAGATTCTACAGAGGAGGAAGATAGAATGATCTACTCGGCTCTACTCATGCAGAAAAGAGACCATCAGTTCCTTACAGATCACTTGTCAGCGCTTACTGAAGCTACTACCATGGCTTGTCGTCAGGGTCTACTAGCCTCCTGCAATTGGGAAAATCAATTTACGGAATCACTCTACGCTGCCCCATGGTCATCGCCCTTACTCTTTGGTGGTAACATAGACAAGGTCTCCAAAGAGGTGTTTAAGGACTCTAGAGAGGTGCTTATGATCAAGTCCATGGATACGTTAGCGAACGTCATTAAGCAATCAGCCTTGAGATACTCTGGCAAGTCTAATTCTCTGGACTACAGAAAGCATCGGACAAGAAATTGGCTACAGCAAAGGTCCCAGGGAATCTTTCGTCGTAAGCCCATACAGCAATTTCAGAGGAGGATCAGCAAGAGGCAGATCATCCAGAGGTTCCCGCGGATTTAGACGATGAAATACAGGTTTGGAACGACTGGAGTCTTCCACCCCCAGCCGTTCCAGTACAACCTTCTCAAGT